TATTAATTTTTTTAACCTTGTTAATTTAGTTTTAACTGACTGTGATAAAAAAACCATATTTAATTGTCTTTAACCTTCTTAATTGAGCGTAATTTGTTTTACAAGTCATGTAATTTTGAAGTAGCTTAATTATGTTCTTCAAATTTATATTTATATTTCTAATAATAGTTTTGGCATTTTCTTTATCTCAAATATTACAAATAAATTATAAATAAATACAAATATTAATTATATTTTATGATATATTTTTTTCTACATATTACACTTTCTAAACTTCGGCCCCCGACGGTCAAATCCTGGCTCCGCCCCTGCACCAGCGGGCAGTGGGCAACGATGTTGTTCTCTCCCTCCATCAACCCTCCGTCCGCGACGAGAAGCTCGTCCTCCTCCATACCACCAACGGCGCCATTCTCTCCCTCTCCTTCCGGTGACGAACTAAGCTCTTCCGGCGACGAGAAGCATCAACGACGAGGGGTATTTTATTTTGCTTCACTGGCCCCCTGTCGCCTACCGCCGTTGATCTGCAACGCTCCTCTTCTCCATAATTTCACCTACTCTATGTGCCCATTTGCCATTACATTACATGTTAACCTCCCTCCAATGTTATTATCTACTTGAATCGTAAAAGATGACAGAAAGGATGAAAAAACATCTCCAATGTTATTATCTACTTGAATCGTAAAAGATGACAGGAAGGATGAAAAAACATGCCTCTCTATGTGCCCATTTACCATTACATGTTAACCTCCCACAATTAGTGTTATTATACCTACTTGAATTGTAAAAGATGACAAGAAAGATACGTATAAAATTGCAATTCAAATCAAATTCGAGCAAACAAATGTCCGAATGTGATGGAATCACAAATAAGTTGTGGGATAATAATGTGATTCAGATTAAAAATTATAATTATTATTAGAGTTGTATGATACTCCATGGAAAAAATAGTGGCAATAAAGTATCAGAAACAGGAAGTAACTAACAGATTTTCATTTTCAGAATCCAAATTCAGAACTCACCAAATTCTCAACTAAGTAAGTTTTCTTCGGGTTTTGTTTCTTAGAAAACGATAGCTTCATTTTCATTTTAGTTTTTTTTTTTGTTTCCAAAACTATAAGAAACGAAGTGGCAAGTAAACGGCCCATAAGAGTGTTATATCATGTTACTTGTAATGAAAAACAGGTTGGCTATATATGTTCGAAAGCTCTCCTTGGTGTATAACAGAACAACTTTTGATGGTTGAACTAGTGCCAATTCTTTGTTTAATGAATCTTCGTTTTCTACTAAGTAATCACGGTTATTTTCTTTTTAATGAATAACTCTACTTAGATATTTTAGTTAATCCAATTGTGTATTGTAAATTGTATTTGTAGTTTATGATTAATTGATTATGAGTATGATAATGAGTTTAATTTTATTAATTAATATTAATGTTAGTCATTGGTTAATATTCACATGTATATATACATTAGACATTATATTCATTGTTAAAGTATTATTTTTGTTTCGAAAATTATATTTCTATTAAAAAGATTATACAATAAAATTTTAATGGAATAGCCATGATAACAACTGAAATTATCCCATGGAAAATACGAAGATTAGAGGCATAATAGATAATTTTATTTTAAACAATGTTAGAAAGATATTATATTTCAAATAATTATGGTATAATCATTTTAATTTTATTATAGTTAAAAATTAATTTGGACCACATCTCAATATTGGAACAAGGCCTCCATGATTCATTTGACTGTCCTCCTACTAGGAGAAGTTGAGACACACTCCCTTCTAGTGGGGTAAAAGTTGGGAAATGAAGCTACCTTGATGTGAAGGTGAGAGATGAACCAATCTACCTCACGACCTATACAATGTGTAATTGAGAAGAAGAGGTCTAACAAGCTAGGCCTCCAATATTTTTTTTACGCTAGCTTTTAGAGGAGAGATTTTTCCAGAAATAGCACTGTTTAAAAAAAAATTCCAAAAATAGCACCCAACTCCGAAAAATTCCAAAAATAGCACCATTTTTGTAAAACCGCCACCCGGAGGTGCGTTTTTCGATGAGAACGCCACCCGAGGGCGCGTTTTTCGATGAAAATCGCACTGGTAGGGAGCGGTTTTGCAGACCGCACCCCCAGAGTGCGTTTTGTCTTTTTTTTTTTTTTTGCAAACCGCACCCCCAGGGTGCAATATGTTTTTTTTTTTTTTTTGAAAAATCCTAACTTAGGTGGAAACTTTAGACGAACGTATCTTTATGTTCGGGTATCCGATCGTCGCGATTTTTTTTTTGATTCCGCATAACTTTTTGAGATCTTGCAAGCCGAAGACTGCCAAAGGTGGTTTGGTCTCGCCTTCATACCAAAAAATGTCGTTTGCTACCCCGAACGAGCTTTTTTCCGATTTTGTCAAACTTTGGACAACCGTAACTTTGTGCTCCAAATCCCAACGGCATGATTTTTTTTTATTTCGCATAACTTTTTAAGGACTACAATTTTTACTAGGAATGTATTTTCAAAACAGGAATTATTTTTGGATATACAGGATTTTGGGAATAGCTTATCTTCCCTTCTCAGCAATCCACGTACATTTTGAAATTATGTCTATGATAAAAGTTGTATTCCTTAAAAATTTATGCGAATTAAAAAAAAAATTCATGACGTTTGGATTTTGGAGCACAAAGTTATGGTTGTCCAAAGTTTGACGAAATCGGAAAAAAGTTCGTTCAGGGTAGCAAACGACATTTTTTGGGACGAAGGCGAGACCAAACCACCTTTGGCAGTCTTCGGCTTGCAAGATCTCAAAAAGTTATGCGGAATCAAAAAAAAATCGCGACGATCGGATACCCGAACATAAAGATACGTTCGTTTGAAGTTTCCACCTAAGTTAGGATTTTTTTTTTTTTTAAAAAAATGCAGATTACACCCTGGGGGTGCGGTTTTAAAAAAAAAAAGACAAAACGCACCCTGGGGGTGCGGTCTGCAAAACCGCTCCCTACCAGTGCGGTTTTCATCGAAAAACGCGCCCTCGGGTGGCGTTTTCATCGAAAAACGCACCTCCGGGTGGCGGTTTTACAAAAATGGTGCTATTTTTGGAATTTTTCGGAGTTTGGTGCTATTTTTGGAATTTTTTTTTAAACAGTGCTATTTCTGGAAAAATCTCTGTAGAGGACTGTAAGTCCTCTACTGCAGTGCTGGTTAGTAATGAAATAACATCCAGATGGATAAAAAATCAATTTTTATATCCTTACCCAACAACAAAAAAATCATTAATCCTTGGTTTCCCGCTTCCTCAAAATCTATGGACAAATAGTTGTAGTCCACAGGACACGAACGAGATGGACACCGGAGATGGCAGAAGCCGAAGCTTTGCTTTGGGGAATGGGGACTAAAATTGGCGCAGGCACATCACTATCTGCCACTGTTAATGGAGAGTGATTTCCAGACGCTAATCCAGAAACTAGATCGACATGAGGTAAAGGATTTGAAGACGTAGCTGAAATTGTGAAGAAATTCGTGACAAGGCGAATGAATGGGGGAGTGTTCGATGGAGGTTTTGGAGAAGGAAAGGGAATGAACTATGAAAGGGGCACAAGTAATGGCGAGGGTGAACTGTCACTGGGAGGAGACGGAAATTTGGTTTCCCGTCCTCCAATTTTCTTGATCCCCAACTTTTAATGGATTGCCAATTTGCCCCTGAAGCTTGATAATTAATGGATACAGGCCAGCTGTAAAAAAAAATCTGTGGACAAAAAAGCCCAAAGCTGGCCGATATGGCATCCGCAGTGGAAGCCCAAGGTGTCGCTCAGGGGTTTATTGGCCCAACGGGAGATTATGCTGCCTCGCAAAGCCCATCTGTTCTTTTCAATTACATCGTAACTCACGGAAATTACAAACCTTCATATGTCCCCATCAAGGTTGTTAAACCCCTATCGAACCCCCCGGTTGAACCCGGTTGGACCCGAGTCGGGCTTCAAAACGGTCTCCAGAAAACCCTCCGGTCTGACCCCTAAACAGGGAGAAGAAGAGAGGCGGAAGAGAGGAAAAGAAACGAAGGAAGGGAAATGGTAGGTGGATCATGGAGGTTAGGTAGATTTATTTTGTTGAAAATAAGTTTTTAATAGATATATGTAAGATAAATTTTATTTCACTCATTAAATTTTTAATTACTACTTTATTTGTATATATATTTAGAAAACGTCTAAAACGGCTCAAACCGGCCGGACCCCGATCAGACCATTAAACCTCAAACCCCTTGCTTGACCGGCTCAATGACTTAAACCGGTTTGACAACTTTGGTCCCCATCCACCACCGAACCGATAAATTATGGCTTAATTGCAAGTTTGGTCACTCGAATTGCTATAAAATTTCACGTTTGCCACTCAAAATGATTTATTCCATTTATAGTCACTCGAATTAGTTGAACAATTCAAGTTCGGTCACTCTCCGTTAACCTCCGTTAACTTTGACTGACGTGGCGGTCAACTCTGACAGTTGACCGTTAAATGTGTGACGTGGCAAATAAAAAATAATTAAAAAATAAAAATTAAATTTTTAGAAATTACACATCATTATCACAACAAATTATAATTATAAAAAATAAAAATGAAATTCCCCACTCCATCAACTGAATCTCAAAACTTCCCTTCCCTCCCCGACGACCCCTCAAATGGCTACCGACAGCGAGAATTCCAGATCCGGATCCGGCAATGGCGACGCTGCCGCACTGAAAGTGGCTCTGATCACCGGCATAACTGGCACTTGTGGTTGTAGGAGTCCACTGGCTTATCAAGCAATTCAACTCAACTGTCCCTGAACATGGTCACCTATTTCCAAGTTCCACCATAGTATTAGTGGTAGTCGAAGCTCCATTTGAAGATTAGAATGCAAAAACTGAGCTCGTCGACTTATAAATCACTGGATCTGAAATCTGAAACTTCAAATCAGGTGGACCATTTGATCTGCAAAACAAATTACAACCGATACTAGAAAATAGAAAGCTATTACGATGAACCCACTGCCCTAATCCGATCAGACAGACAATAGCGGCCAGCGGTGAAACTGATCCGGACGTAAAACGAGCTGGATGTAGCGAGGAGGATAAACAGAGATCGTGAAGGAACTATAACTGCTGAAGTTGAAATTAAGGGGCAAGCAAAGGGGTCGGCAGCACTACTACTCCACAAATTGAAAGAGAAGAAAAGAACAGGGAGTGGAGCGATCGAAGGTTGGTGGTTTACCTTGGAGGTTTTCTCCGGAAGGAGGATGCCAGCGGTAGTCTTGGAAGGAGGGACAGTCTTCTCGACCAAAATGCGATTGAAGGCTGGAATCAAACGCTTCGCCATTTTTCCGGGAGTTTGGAGCGGCGGAGGGTCACAGCTACCGATGAGAGAAGAGAGAAGACGTGGAGTGGAGACTGGAGAGGTCAGGGGTTTAGGGAGGAAGTAGTTAATCTAAGTTATAGTTCCAGATTGGAGATATCGATTCTGAACAATAATTTTTCTTTTTTCATTTTTTATAATTATAATTTTTTGTGATAATGATGTGTAATTTTTAAAAATTTAATTTTTATTTTTTAATTATTTTTTATTTGCCACGTCACACATTTAACGGTCAACTGTCAGAGTTGACCGCCACGTCAGTCAAAGTTAACGGAGGTTAATGGAGAGTGACCGAACTTGAACTGTTCAACTAATTCGAGTGACTATAAATGGAATAAATCATTTTGAGTGGCAAACGTGAAATTTTATAGCAATTCGAGTGACCAAACTTGCAATTAAGCCGATAAATTATTCTTCCAGATCCTAAACTTTCCCGCTAACCGTCGATGAAGTTGAAGCTCAGTCCAGTTCTCTTCTTCCCGCACCCGCAATGGAATCTGCCGAATCTGAAAGTGAAAACAAACAAATGCATCCGTTTGACTCTCCAGAAAGCCGGACGGATGGAACAATTACGATACAACATTTCTTCAGTAAGGCATATTCCAAGGCCGCAATGTCGTCGGATCCTGACAAAGGAATCTGAAACCTCATTAAAACCATCCGGCCGCACGATCCCTGCCAAAATGAATGTGGACAAGCAGCAAAAACATTAAATATGATTAGCTTCACCATCATCAGTAGCTCGTCAATCAATGGCTCCACATTATTCCCACCCTAACAACATGTTGTTTACGACAGTACTGTTCTTGGTCATTACCACTTCACTCTTTTCTGCAGCTTCAATACCAACTCCCAACCATGGAAGAAGCTTCCAGCAATGCTTCTACTCTTGTTACTCCAACAATCACACCCAAGTCGTCATTGCTAGAAACTCTCCCCTGTATTCACCCCTTCTGAACTCTTCCATTCGAAACAACAGGTTCCTCAACTCTTCATCATTCGACTTGTGGTCGAAACCCGAATTCATCGTCACCCCCACCCGCGAATCACACATCCAAGCCACCATAATTTGCGCCAAGCGGTCAGGTTTCCAAGTGCGGACACGAAGTGGAGGTCACGACTATGAGGGCTTATCATACTCATCATCTACACACCAGAAGTTCGTGCTGGTCGTCCTCTCGAATTTCAGGTCCATCGAGGTCGACATAGAAAATGAGACCGCCTGGGTGGAGACAGGCGCCACGCTAGGTCAATTGTACTACAGGATTGCAGAGAAGAGTAGGGTTTATGGCTTCCCTGCTGGAAGCTGCCCGACCGTGGGAGTGGGAGGTCACTTCAGTGGAGGTGGATTTGGGACCATTTTCAGAAAGTACGGCCTAGCGGCGGATAGAGTTATGGATGCCAGGATGGTCGACGCAAATGGCGAGATCATGGACAGGAATTCCATGGGAGAGGACCTGTTTTGGGCCATCCGAGGCGGCGGAGGAGCCAGCTTTGGAGTAATCTTGGCCTGGAAAGTCGAGTTAGTTCCCGTTCCTGAAATCGTAACCATTTTTAGTGTCAGCAGGATTGCGGAACAAGGCGGGGTTCAGGTCTTCCAGAAGTGGCAAAACGTGAGCCACAACCTCCCCAAGGAATTATTCCTTCACGCCGTCATTAAACCCAATAACGGAACAATTCAGTTCGTGTTTGTGGGACTTTTTCTCGGCAGAGTGAAGGAACTACTTCCTCTGATGGAGGAAAGGTTCCCAGAGCTGGGTTTGGCCGCGGAAAGCAGTCAGGAAGTCAGTTGGATTCAGTCTGTGATGTACTTTGCAGGGTTCGCGGTGAACAACATCTCGTTGAAAGCGCTGCTCAATCGAACCTCAACCTTCGATGGGTTCTTTAAAGCGAAATCGGATTACGCGAGAGAACCCATCTCAGGACTCGGGCTCGAAGGACTTTTCAAGCGGGTTCTGGAACAGGAGTCGTCTATGCTGATCCTGACGCCTTACGGCGGCAGGATGGGAGAGATTCCTGATTCAGAAACTCCATTTCCTCATAGGAGAGGTTACATATACAAGATTCAGTACATCGTGACTTGGGATACAGAGGAGGAGACGAGTTTACACATGAGGTGGATCAGAGAACTGTATGAGTACATGGCTCCATATGTCTCCAAGGCACCTCGAGCTGCTTACTATAATTACAGGGATCTTGATTTGGGCCGGAACGGGAAGAACGATGATAGTTACGAACGGGCCAGAATCTGGGGTTTGAAGTATTTCAATGGCAACTTTGATAGGCTGGTCCGTGTTAAAACTGCAGTCGACCCATCCAATTTCTTCTGGAATGAACAGAGCATCCCTGTTTTAGCTCCCCATTAATGCAAATCGTCCAGCTCAGTGGCCCGAAATAGTGTCAGAATTTGTTGGGCCAATGTAGTGTATACTTCTGTTATTCATTACTTTTTGACTGAGAATCAGTGCAGTTAGTTGTGTGGATTGAATAAAAGTGGGAGATTGGTGGGCATTCCAATTACAGGGCAAGTATTTGACTTTGTGATGCTGATATTTGTTCCTCATATAATAATGTGGATGTCAATGGGTTTTCAACTACAGACAGCGGAGCGGAGGGATTCAGAAATGGAAGCTGACATGCTGCTGATGCGTTCGCAAAGTAATCATGAAGGACAGAAGAAGACACCTTTGGACCAATTTGACTGAGTACATGGATTTTCAGACCAAGTTCATCAGTTCAAGAGTTAGGCATCGTCGGTCCAATTTGCTCAAATATAACATAGAGCTTTTCTCAATCTATCTGAAGAGAGAACAAAAAAATTATCTAGTTAAAACTAATAAAAGCCTTTTTCCTAATCTAATCAATAGTTAACTCTATTTTTAGAAAAATACAATATATATTTGTGTGCTATATATAATACGTGTGTTATTTAGTATAAACATTTACAACATAAAGGGGTAGTTATACATACAATAGGTATTAGATGTCAAGTAATCTATAACGATGAGGATACATACTTTATACTTGTCAAGTAATCTACTATGCATAATTTTTTGTCAAATACATTTTTTTCCCTATTTTGGTAAATCTGCTTAAGAAAGTAATGAAAGTGGTGAAATACATTGATTCTTATAGATTACTGTTGGAAAAATATATATGATAAATATTATTCCATTCCCGCTGCCATGTAAGACAGATTTAACGGATCTAGGCGACGAGTGACCACAGATGACATAAATGTATATTATCGATGGCTAAATTGAAAAAAAAGTAATTCGAATGACAAAGGTGTTACAAATATGAGTTACCAAACCTGCAATTCACCCCTTATATCAAAACCCTTTTATTTATTCATGACTGATGTTAAAAATCCAAACTAAAATCAACGATCCATTAATTTTTACTTGGAAGATTTATTATAGAAGGTTACATAAAGCCAATTGACTCCATTATCTGCTCCTCTAAAATAAACTTTAGAATGTGACACTAATAGGCAAAATACATTTCCATAGCCATAACTTTCACGTTCGTGACAAATATAGCCATAACTATAGAAATACACGAAATCGCCACTTCCGTTCATTGCTTTAACGGTGTCAGTTAATAGTATGACCAGACTGACGAAAAATGTTGAGTTGCCAATTTATTGTCTCCACCAGTTCACGTGGATTAAAAAAAAGTAAAAAATAAAATTAATTTTTAAATGAAAATCATTACAAACAATAATCTATCCCCACCTCCACCTTATTCCGCAGCTACTGTCGCGATCCCCAATCCCTACACAAAATAGCTTCCTCCCAAAATCAATCCTACCCTCTTCCCACCTCTCGATCTGCCTCCATTCTCATTTCCCTTGCTAGATTTCCATTTTCCCCTCTTCCCATCCCGCGACGAAGTTCTCCCTCACCGTGACCTCCATCGCCACCGTAGCCAATCCGACCTCGGAGAGAGGATTCTTGCTGGGACTCCTGGCAGGAGTAGGCGCCACCACTATGTGGAGGTTAGTCGCCCGCTGGGGACTCATATTGAGAGGGTCTGGAGACCTTTAGTCGAGACTGCAGACTGTCTAAGAACCTCCCGCGGTATAACTATCATTGAACTCGAACTTGGTGAATTACAACCTAGCTTAACTGCATTCTAGGGGGAACCATATCTGGGTGACCTCACTCAACTTTGAACACAACTTTCACTGCTTTTGGTTGCTAGTTAGTTAGACCTTCACTACACTTGAACCGCTAAATTATAAGATTTTCACGGAGTAGTCATCACACCTAGGACCCGGGTTGACATTTAGAACTAAACCTGCTATACTACGCATTAGTAGGTGGTTACACTTGGCCACTTTCTAGTGTGACGGTAGAGGCGTGTCAAGTTTTTGGCACCGTTGCCGGGGACGGCTAGGTTGTTTAAGAAACGTGATTTCTGTAACTTTTGCATTTCTTTTCCGCATTGACTGTTTGCTTTGTCCCACTTGTGCCTTCACGTGTTTGCTTGCTTGGCTATGTGCAGGTAGTGCATGACCCGTAGCCAGTCGGGAGGTTTACTACCGTTAGATCCGGAGCTAGAACGCACCTGTCACCAGCTAAGGAGACAACAGCGAGCAAGACTGGCTACGGAGGAAGTGCACGTCGACGGCCATCTGAGCAGCGACTTTGAAGAGGAATACGAGATGGGTGACGAGCACAACAGGGGGAACCTTAACCTGGGGCAGAATCAACCCCTAGGGATGCGCATGCAGGTCCCCCTAGTGAATCAGATCCTGGCGACACAACCCCGTTCCCCAGGCAGATGGGGCTCAGCATCCACCACCCCCGGTGGGTCTTACTATGGAGTACTACTACACTCCACGGGTCACCAACATCCGCCCCGTCATCCTGTATCCGCCCATCCCAGCAAATAATTTTGAGATCAAGCCATGCTGGATTTAACTGATCACATCCTCTATCCAGTTCCATGGCTTGAAG